ATTCACTGCCATCAAGTCAATTTGACTCATAGCAACTCTCCTAGGGTTTCCGAGGCTGTACCCCTACAGAAGTAGATTGCCCAATCATCCTTCTGAGGAGTGCCTGGTGGATTTAAACCACCAGACTTCTGGTTAGCAGTCATAAGCTTAGAGCCCCTATAGAACAGAGTAAAGCTGCCCTAGATTGTCAAGTCTTTTATCCCACAGAACTACTGGTGGGTTTGAACTGCCAACCTTTTGGTTAGAAGCTGAACACTTAATTATTGTGCCACCAAGGCTCCTAAACAGACTGTATATGTAATAATAAATATTTATTTGTGATAAAATATATTCTTCAGATGGCCATGTAGAGCCGGTGTCAGACTGAGGAAACTCTCATTCTTAAACTGAGTCAATAATTAATGAAGTGGTTTGATTCCTGGCCATTGAAGTTCAAGAAAATCATGACTGGTCTATCTGTGGGGCTGTGTGATGTTAAGATGCTGAACTGGTTTCGGCAGAGCTTCCAGATATGCTTTCAGAAATGAGCCAATGAAAAGCCTATGGATCACAATGGTCTAATCTCTAACTGATGGCATAGCACACATAGGGTCTCCATGAATTGGAGACTGATCTAATCACACTTAACAACAAATCTATAAATTAGTCTCTATGATACCAAATACTTTCACTGTATCATTGAATTTGAATTTCAAAGCAACCCTTGAGATAGTATGATAGATACTTTTTTTTTTTCAAATGAAAGTCTGATGATTTATTTGAAGAGTGAAACTAAATACAGAATTATTGGCAGTAAAAGACCTGCCCAAAGGCATTTGCTATGCATGTGTGCATATGTGTGAATAGGAAATATTAGAGGGAATCTGGAAAAACAGAACATAGTGACCTAAAATTCCATTTCCCTAACATAACCACAATTTTATTTTATTAAATATCATCCATTTTGCTATGCATTATGACTATTAGAAATAGTTGTCATTCCAAGACCATGTAACATCATTGTTTTTATTCTGCAGAATATAGACTCAAAGAGGTTAAGGTGCTTGCTTAAGGGTATGCCATTTATTAATTGGTGGTAGTCCACACTCCAGTTTGTCTTCATTACACCACTCTTCCATCACCAAGTTAGGGCCAAATGACTCCCAAAATGAAAGATCAAGACCAAGAGTCAGGCATAGTAACACTTGTTAATTTGAAAGTCAAGGTAGTATTCTATTAGGTTATTTTCCTTCCCATTCTATTCCATTAGGCTCTTCCCCAGTAAATGCTGGAAGGAGTATTTTGGTTATGTTTGTGTGTCAACTTGGCTGGGCTTGGTTGAGTGGCTGGGCAGCTGGATGTAATATTCCCTATGATGAGACTGGTAATCAACTCTATTGTGGAATCTGTGAGCAGCTGAGTAGCTGCTTTAAGGATGTGGTCTGCTTCCTGTACATAAGGAGAAGCCTCACGGAACAGTCTCTAGCTTATGGCACACTTGAACTCTGCATGTAGCCATGTCGTCATTGTTCAGCAGCCTGCCATGCTCTGTCTACCTTGAAACTTTCAACGGACTTGAATTACTGGCGTGCTGTGTGGTTTGGTAACATCAAGACTGTGCCTTTTCATTAGTTGACTTTGGGTTTGTGAGCCTCAGTAGCTAGCAGCTGCCTGAGTGGAGAGATGCCTCTAGCTTCAGTGGGCCGGGAGCAAGAGGCAGAGCTAATGTCACAGGGTTTCCCACAGCCCCTAGAGCCTGGCACTTTGAACTCAGACTTCTAGCTTCCAAAATGTAAGAGAATAAACTCCTGTTTGTTAAGGCCATCCACATTTGTAGTATATATTCTTGTCAGAGTGGCACTAGGTAACCAGAACAGAGGTGGAACACAACTCTCCAATGCTCGGAAATGGAGCATTTTATTTTGCTCAGGCTTTTGCCACACTGTGAGTGTAGTCACAGCCTAGGACCATTATTTCTAAAAAAAAAAAAAAACCAAACAAACAAAAAACTCACTACCATCGAGTCCGATCTGATTCATAGTGACCCTTCCTTGGGTTTCTGATGTGGTATCTCTAGGGTAGTAGATTGCCCAATCTTCCTTCTGAGGAGTGGATGGTGGCTTTGAACTGACAGCTTTCTGGTTAGTAGTCAAATGCCTTAGGCACTATGCCACCAGCGCTCCTCAATTATTTCCAAGGGGAGTAAAACAGGAATTTGGACCACCAGTCACCAAGGTGACATTAAAAAATAAATAAATAAAAATAGGTCATTGCTGTGAGACATGGATATGAGAGCAGGAATATTTTGATTCTCATGGAAATAGCCCAGTGAACATTCCATCATATTTCATAGCAAATATGTTCCACCCACTTATGCAGAATCCTTGTCTGCTCTCTTCTGAGTTATTTCTAACTTTTAAAAATAAAGGAAAATATCAACACATCTTTCTCTCTCTCTCTTTTTTTTTTTTTTTTTTGTAATTTCCACATGGCTAGGGCTTCTCTTAATATATCTGTTCCCATTAAAATACCCATTGTTGTCAAGTCAATCCTAATGCATAGCGACCATATAGGACAGAATAGAATTGCCCCATAGAGTCTCTAGGGCTCTAAACTTTACAGAAGCAGACTGCCACATATTTCTTCCTTGGAGCAGTTGATGGTTCAAACCACCAACCTTTCTTTCTATTAGCAGCTGAGCATTTAACCACTGCACCCATTAAACCCAGTGATATTTAGGAGAAAAACAGCCACTCCCATTAATCTACTATAAATGCTTTCAAACCATCAGGGAAAAGGAAAAAAAAAAAAAAAGGTTATTACTAGAAAGTCAGGCAAGATCCTTTCCATTCATTCCAACAGCTGTTTAACATGAATGGAAGCCAAGTAAGGTAAGTTTAGGTAAATATTTCTATTTAGTGTAGTTATCCAAGGGTCAAAAAAAAAAAAAAAGACTGTGCTTTTTTGGGGAAGTTATAGAATTTATTAAAAAACAGTATTAAAATATTAAAAAGCAATTTTTATTACAAAAAGTAAAATTTCTTGCTTACAGATACTGACCTATTCTAGACAAGGAGAAACAACTAGGTGATACTTGGATTAAACCCAAGAAAACAAGACTAAATGAAGAGACTTGCTCAGCCTCCCAACTGTTCAGGAAACCCCCCAAAATTAGAGGCCTGGTTCTTTGGGCTCAGACCTTCACTCTTGCCTTCTATACCTGTGAGTCCACTTGCAGCTTGAAATTCTATGTAGCTAAATACTACATTTACCGGACTAGTGATTCTACATTGATTATAAAGATTATCCATAGCTATTTACCCTTCTCTGCTAAAAAATCATCCTATTGGCCTATTTAAAAATTGAATGGTGAAGAAACAACAAATGATGTCTGAATGTAACAACAGATCTTATCCTCCCTGAACCTCATAAATGCTATTTTAGACAACGAAAGCAATCATTACCTGAAATAGTCCTGGAAAAAAAAAATCAATTTAATTATACGAGATGTGTTTTACGTTTTAATTGTTGTTGAGTATAGTGTCTTATTGACAGTGCCTTCCTGGATCTCACTTTATGAGCTTTTACATTACTCAGATAACTTGCTGAAGAGAGAGAGAGAGAAAAATCCATCGTGTTACTTAAAAGAACTGAAGCAGCATTGTGCCCAAGTCATTAGACCCCTTGACTGTGCTCATAATGATGAATGCATCATTTTTCTTGCATGAAACTTTGGTAACAAATAGCACAGGCAAGTCTTTTCCAGCACTGTTATTCTGTTTTAAAAAACACTGACATTTTCTTAAACAGACATAATTTACAATTTCAAGGAGTACAACAGTGCTTCGGTGTTTGAGGGCCAGAAGGCAAACAAAACTCCTTTCAGTTCGATTTTTTAAAAAGGGAGTCTCGTGCTTCGTGAGTGCACTATAGCTTAAGGCCAGAGAGACAGAGCAGAGGGAGAACAGAGCCTCACTGCAGCATGTGAAGGTCATGGCTAGCGGGTCACATTACAATAAGGGTCACAGCAAGACTGCACAAAAGGAAAGCAAATCTGCACCCAGCATAAGAGTTGAGGCACACAGTGCTGTTTCTTGGTCAGTAGCGAAGGGGCCAAAGATTTCATTCTAATTCTCCCTCTGAGGGGAGCAGCAGCCTCATGGATGCCTCTGCACTGGAGAACTCTCTCTAACATGCTCCTCTGTAAATTTCACACAAAGGGAGCACTGCCAGTGTCCATGTGTCTGAATCAATATCTGTAGCAATGTTCGATTTCCAGAGGGGTCAGCTTGGCCCAAGTAGATAAATGGAGCTCTGTGCAGGCTGCTGTCGGTCTGTTGTTTGGATGAGACCTTAGAAGCTAAGGTTATGTGTAAAGATTAAAACTCCCAAGGTGTTTTCTAAGACGATTGATGTGTTTCTATGCACTTGGTAAAAGCTTCTCTTCCTGTATTTCTTGCTCCTTTATTCAATAGCTGTGTTTTACGGCTCAGAGGAATAATATCTGTGAGGCGTGAGGGTATGTATGTGCTTGTATATGTGTGTGTGTGTATGTGAGTGTATCCCTTGTAGATATGCAAGCTATATATATATGTTTATATACACACAAATACATACATATGTAAACCAAAACCAAACTGTTACCATGGAGCATCAAGTTGATTCCTATTCATGGCAACTGACTCATGGTGACCCCATATGTGTGTGTGTGTGTGTATAAAATTTTCATATGGGAACATTTTTGCTTTTTTTTTTTTTCTTGATGCATATGTGTATCAAATTCATTGCTGTTGATAGCTGTCCCACCCCACGCACAATGGAACAAAATACTATCTGGTGTTATGCCATCCCTATGATCACTTACAGATTAGACCATTACAGGTTCTCATTAGCTGTTCTTGAAATCAGTCTCCAGGCCTTTCTTACTAGTTTATCTCAGTCTGGAAGTGCTGCTGAAACCTGTTCAGCATTATAGCAACACACAAGCCTCCACAGACAGACGGCAGTGGCTGCTCATGAGGTGCATTAGCCAGGAATCAAACCTAGGTCTCTCTCATGGAAGGGGAGATTTCTACCACTGAAACACCAATGCACTTATCAAATTTAAGATATCCAAACCCACCAGCCACTCTGTGGGAGGAAGATGAGGCAGTTTGCTTCCATAAAGATTTACAGCTTTGGAAACCCTATGGGGCAGTACTACTACTCTGCCCTAAAGAGTTGCTAAGAGTTGGAATTGGTTCATTGGCAGTAGGTTTGGTTTAAACCAACAGGAGGCTGGAATAATAATGTTACCATTATATGGTATTTGAACATTCATTTTTTTCTATAATCACATATTAAGCTCCTACCATACTCTAGGTATGATTCTATGAACTGTATATAAAGAGTCTACCCCTTTCATCAAGACTTAACTCTTTCAATGCAGTAGACCCACAAACACAATTATAAAAGAGTATGATGAGTATGGGAGCTCTGGTAGCATAGTGGCTAAGACACTTGCCTGCTAACCAGATGGCTGGCGGTTCAAACCCACCAGCCACTCCTCGGAAGGAAGGTTGGGCAATCCTACTTCCGTAGTGATACTGCCTCGGAAACCCAAGGAGGGGTCGCTATGAGTCGGGGCCGACTCGACGGCACATAACAACAACAACAACAACATGATGAGTATGGTGGTCTTTCGTACAGGAGACTCACATCAAATCACCTGCCCTCACTTGACTGTCAGTGATGGCTTACACGTTGCTATAATGCTGACCAGGTTTTAGCAGAGCTTCCAAAGATGGACTAGGTAGGCCAGGTGATCTACTTCTGAAAATCAGCCAATGACAATCCTATGCAACATAAAGGTCTGTTCTACAACCACTCATGGAATGTCACAGGACTAAGCTGCTTTTCACTCAGTTTGGCATGGGGTTGCCATAACTCAGGAGGTGACTCAATGGCAGCTAGCAATAACAACAATGTGATGAGTGCAAAAAAAATGTGAAAAAGGCTTAGTAGTAGAACTAAGGAGGGAGTGGTTAGCTCTATTATGCAAGAGTTGAGAAGAATTTTCTGTGGAGCTAGGTATAGCATATGTCTTCTGGGTTTAGAAAGATGAGTAAAACATATATCAGATGGACAAGAGGCAGGAAAACAGAGGAGTGGGCAAACAGAAAGGCAGAGAGGAATGCAACACTGGTGTGGACTTTGTTCCGTCGGTATATAAAAGGGCAAGGCATCAAGGGGTAGAAAATGAGGATGGATAGGCAAGTAGAAAATACCATATTTTGATGCATCCACTGCTAAAGTTAAGCATTTGTTTTTTAATCCTAAAAGCATTATTCAAAATGTTTCTGTAGAAACTCTCAAAAAAAAAAAAAAAAAAACCTCACTGCCGTCGAGTCAATCTTGACTCACAACGACCCCTCCCTCGGTTTCATAGGTGGTATCTCTATGGGAATAGATTGCCCATCTTCCTTCTGAGCAGTGGCTGTTGGGTTTGAACTGCTGGCCTTTTGGTTAATAGTCAAATGCCTTAGGCATTATGTCACCAAGCTCCTAGTCCTATAGATACTTAATAGGTAAACCTTGGCAAAAGTAGCTCCATGACCAAATAAATACATTAAGAAAATTTTGGATTGAATAAATTTCTTTAAAGCAAGATTCTTCAGAGCCATTAAAACTCTGAATTTTTAATGTATTTGGAGTCTCCAAGAGGAGGTTACATTATGCAGCTTTCCTTAATCCTATTTGACCATTTATCTGTTTGCTGAAGCTTTTGATTCCCTGGCCCTAAAGAAATACAGATGTAAATGCTGGATAGACCACAAAATGTTTTAAACAGTGGATCAAGAGAGACTTCTCAGTCTTGTTTGTTGACATTTTTTACATTATCTCTTGGTGGCAGCAAGAAAAGAACAAGAACAGGCAGCAAAGGGACTAAGAGATTACTTGTGACAAAGATTAAAGGCCCCATCTAAGGAAGAGGACATGAAAATAAGAAGAAAAGAATAATTTCAAGAAACATTAGACTGTAGAATCATAGTAACCAGTGTCTTACATCATATGTATTTCTTCTGATATGAAAATGAGTTGCAACTTAGAAAACCGTGGTGGGTCTCTTGATTATCCTAAAGATTAATGATAAAGTTAACTCATTCATACCCTGTACTTTGCCAACTTTTCTCCTGGAAAAATGAGATCTTTGACCAAGAGTCTACTCTATATCATTACCCCAGAAGTAGAGTATGAAATGAATGGGAGGGGAATGGACTGTTACCCTCAATCTCATTGGAGAGATTCATGAGCGTAGATAAAAAGAAGACTCCTAAAGGCTGGAGTACATTGTGGAGACAAGCTCAAGAATAGACTTGAGAGGTTAAGTGAGAAGCAGCATAGTACAAACACAGTGTCTTAGTTTCCCATGACTACCATAATAGGAATGCCACAAATGGATGGCTTTGAAGAACAGAAATGTATTTCTTAAAAATTCTGAAAGCTGTAAGTCCATATCAGGGTCTCAACCATATGTACTAGTTTATAGTGTTTGCCAGCAACCTTTGGTGATCCTTGGCTCGTAGACAATCCTCACATGTCATCTATCATCCTAGTGTATGTGTCTCTGTGTCTGTTCTGGTTTTCTTATAACTCAAAAGTGATTATCTTTAGGACCCACTCTATGCTAATATGACCTCATTAACATAACAAAAGTAAGCTCTTGCTTCCAAACAGGATCACTTCCACAGGTAAAAATTGCCAGGAATTCCACATGTATTTTGAGGGGATACAATTCAATCCATAACACAGAATCACCAAAGTCACCAGAGTTGAGTGGAAGACGGGAAGGGAGCTCAAGGCAAAACTACTTGTGTAACAAAGACAAGTGGGAGGTCAGACTCACTTCTGTGGGACCAGTGATGAAAAACAGAAAAAGATTTCTTATTTCCTCTACAACATTCTCATACAAGTATGAATTTGCTGTTAAAAAAACCATTGCCTTCAAGTCTATTCCAACTCATAGTGACTCCATATGTGTTACATAATATAACTGATACGTAGGATTTTCTTGGCTGTAATTTTTACGGAAGTAGATAGCCAGGCCTTTCTTCCACAGCACCACTGGATGAGTTTGAACCACCAGTGTTTAGAATTGTTGTTGTTGTTGTTGTTGTTGTTAGGTGCCATTGAGTCATCTTTGAGTCATAGGAACCCTATGCACAAAATGAAACACTGTCTGGTTCTGTGCTAGCCTCATGATCCTTGATAGATCTGAACACATCATTGCAGCCATTATGTCTATCCTTCTTGTTGTGGGCTTTCCTCTTCTTTGTTCAACCTCCATTTTACCAAGCATGATATCCTTCTCCAGGGAGTGGTTCCTTCTGACAACATGACCAAAGTAGGTGAGACGAAGTCTGCCCATTCTCACTTCCAAAGTGCATTCTGACTGCATTTCATCCAGGATAGATTTGTTAGTCCTTTTAGCAGACCATGGTACTCTTAGCATTCTTCTCCAACACCATAACTCAAAAGCATCAACTCTTCTTCTGTCTTCCTTATTCATCATTCAGCTCTCACATGCATAAGAAGCAATTGAAAATATCATGGCTTGGGTTAGGCTCACCTTAGTCTTCAAGGAGACATTTTTGCTCTTCATCACTTGAAAGATGATTTGCCCAATGTAATACATCATTTGATGTCTTGACTGATGCATCAGTTGGTGTTGATTGTAAAGCCAAGTAATATGAAATCTTTGATGAATTCAATCTTTTCTCCATCTATTGTGAAGATGCTTATTGGACCAGTTGTGAGGATTTTGTTTTCTTTATATTGAGGTGCAATCCATACTGGAGAGTGGAGTCTTTAATCTTCATCAGTAAGTGCTTCAAGTCATCCTCACTTTCAGCAAGCAAAGTTGTGCCATCTACATATCACAGGTTGTTAATGAGTCTTCCTCCAATCCTGATGCCATGTTCTTCTTCATATAATCCAGCTTCTCAGATTATTTGCTCAGCATAAAAGTTGAATAAGTATGGTAAAGAATACAACACTGATACACCCCCTTCTTGATTTTGAACCATGCAGTATCCCCTTGTTCTAACAACAGTCTCCTGATCTATGTATAGGTTCCTCATGAGTATAATCAGGTCTTCTGGAATCCCCATTCTTCTTAATGTTACCCATAGTTTGTTATGATCCACACAATCAAATGTTTTTGCATAGTCAATAAAAGATATGTAAACACCTTTCTGGTATTCTTTGCTTTTAGCCAAGATCCATCTGACATTAGCAATGATGTCCCTTGTTCCACATCCTCTTCTGAATCCAACTTGCATTTCTGGAAGCTCTCTGTCAATATACTGCTGTAACCAGTTTTGAATTATCTTCAGTAAGATTGTATTTGTATGTGATATTAAAGATATTGTTTTATAATTTCCATATTCTGTGGGTTCACCTTTCTTTGGAATGGGTACAAATATGGATCTCTTTCAGTCAGTTGGCCAGGTAGCTGTCTTCCAAATCTCTTGGCATAACCAAGTTAGTGCCTCCAGTGGGACATTTGTTTGTTGAAACATCTCAATGATGTTCCTGGAGCTTTATTCTTCACCAATTCCTTCAGTGCACCTTCAACTTCAATACCATTAGTTCTTGATCATATGCCACCTTCTTAAGTGGATGAACATCAACCAATTCTTTTTGGTACAGTGACTCTGTGTATTCCTTCCATATTCTTTTGGTGTTTCCTGCATCATTCACTATTTTGCCCATTGGATCTTTCAATATTGTAATTTGAAGCTTATATTTTTCCCTCAGTTCTTTCAGCTTGAGAAATGCTTAGTGTGTTCTTCTCTTTTTATTTTCTAACTTCACGTCTTAGCACATTTCATTATAGTCATTGGCTTTGTCTGCTTGAGCTGCTCTTTGAAAGCTTCAGTTTAGCTGTTTTATCTTGCCATTTCTTCCATTTGCTTTAGCTACTCTCTGCTCAAGGGCAACTTTCAGAGTCTCTTATGTCATCCATTTTGGTCTCTTCTTCTTTTCTTTTCTTTTTGATGACCTCTTACTTTCTCCATGGATGATGTTCTTGATGTTTTCCACAATTCCTCT